GCTGTTTGAAACAAAGTAATCTACAAAATCAACTGTAACAATTGCAACCAATTCTATGTGGGGCAAACATCACGTCAATTAAAAGTCCACCTCATTTTTCTTTCACTTTTCTCCTAAGAGACACCCAGCTTTATAGCCACAATATTTCCCCATGTCTTTAGGCTTTACTATTCCCAAGCCTTCTAAGACTTCACGTTTCATCATGGGCATTCCATTTTTAACCACCTATGTACACATACGATTTAGAAAACAAGGCTCCTGATGCTGTAGGTTTCATTAGAACTTCATTTTGGCTGGAGCATCTATTTTCCAGATCCTGGCCCAGGAGTGTGTGCAAAATTTGATTAAAAAAATATATCAAGGCAGTGGCCACAATGGCAGTATCTTTAAAATGACCGATCAACACTCTTAAATTAATAGGGAATCTCCTAGGCCAGGGGTTGGCAACTCGTGGCTCTGGAGCCGCATGCAGCTCTTTCAGCCCTCTGCTGCAGCTCCCTGTCGGCTGATCCCACCACTGGTTGATCCCACCACCTTTGTCATGGTACATTTGCACTCAAGGCAGCCCTCGCCTCCCGCCGCTTCGGGCTCAGAGCTGTTGCCACCTCCATGGCCTGCCCACTGGTCTCGCAATGCCTTGCACAGAACAGTAAAATTTAGCGCACTTCACAATGGGAGAGACAGAGTCCCCTCCTCCTTCTGGAGTCCATTATGACTTGGAGCCACAATGCTATCCTGCCCCACTCACCCCCCTGGCAAGAGAGAGAGAGAGAAAGAGAGAGAGAAAGAGAAAGAGAGACATAGACAGAGAGAAACACAGACAGAGAGACAGACAGAGACTCAGAGAGAGAGAGAGACAGACAGACAGACAGACAGAGACTCAGAGAGAGAGAGAGACAGACAGAGAGAGAAAGAGAGAGACAGACAGAGAGAAACACAGACAGAGAGACAGACAAAGACTCAGAGAGAGAGAGAGAGAGACAGACAGAGAGACAGACAGAGACTCAGAGAGAGAGACAGACAGAGAGAGAAAGAGAAAGAGAGACAGAGAGAAACACAGGCAGAGAGACAGACAGAGACTCAGAGAGAAACATAGACAGAGAGATAGACAGAGACTCAGAGAGAGAGAGAGAGAGACAGACAGAGAGAGAAAGAGAGAGAGACAGAGGTGAACAACATACTTGAGGCCAGGTGTGGCAAGAGGTGGCTGGGAGGGGAGGGGTGAGGTGGGGGGGTCAGGCAAGGGAAATAATTTAACAACCAATTCTCTGCCCTAATGAATGGCTGGGTAGGCGTGGCTGGGAGGTCATGTGACTGGGTGGGAATGAGTGTTATCGAGTTGGCCATGTCCAACCAGCCACACTGGTTGTTCAACTATTGACTCCTACTGTTTTCTTTTCTGTGGGAAACGGGTCCAAATGGCTCTTTGAGTGTTTAAGGTTGCAGACACCTGTCCTAGGCAAACATGAACTGATGAAGGAGAAATGAAAGGAAAATAAGTCATCAATTGGCTTGAGCTTTTCCTTTTAAGAGCCACATTTACTCAATTTCAAGGATGCTGGAGCATCAGGTGCTCTGAAATCAGATACCTTGAAATCATTTTTATTTTTATGCGTGGCTGAATATTTGCACGAGGGGAGGAAGGTAAACAGCTCCATATACATGGAGGCATAGAACAACTATATTTCAGGGGGCAATGAGGTGCATACGGATCATAACACTGAAACTAGAAACAATTTCCCAACAGGTATATAACCAGAAAAACAAAATATGTGATCTTCACAAGTAATGAGATTTTTTTTTTCCTGGATGCTTGGTTGTGCGCTCCAAGAAGATAAACAACTACTGGAAAAAATGATTTGCAAGCACCTGAGGGCCTTGATTGTTACCTATGCCATTTGTAAATAATGATAAAGCAATGATAAATCTAGACAAAAATATAAGGCTTAGAGTTACTATTTTGAATGACTATAGATGTTTGCAAGGAACTTTGGGTAATTAAGCTCTAACACTTAAATGATATTAAAGGGTTTGAAATAATTGGAACAAATGAGTATAAACATGGCATTATTTTTAAAAAATATGTCTGCTTGCTTCTGCCTTGACAAAGCACATTAAGAAATCCATTTTGAAACCAGTAATACTACTCTTCCCTGGGGAATTCTGGGGGTTGAAATCCACAAATTTTGGTTAAAGTTGCCAAAATTGGACACCCCTGTTCTATATTCAAGAGAACTCAGCCTGCATGATTCCCTTTACTAATTTCCCTACCAGAGGTGGTATTCAGCTGGTTCGTACCAATTTGGGTGAAACGCGGTAGCAGAGATCACAGGTGCCCCCCGCCCAGCCACCCCCCAGCTGTATGCCATCCTATTTAGGCACGTTCTCGAAGCCGGGCACAAGCGTGGAAGGCGCATGCACATGTGAAGTGAGCGTGCATGTGCAGGGCAAAAAGGTGGTAAGAATATTGGAAACCCCACGCTGATCCCTATCCAGCTTGCAAATTCACTGAATCCAGTTTCTTCTACAAAATCCTGCATCCTGTGTCCCACTTCACTAAAGCAAATCTATTCTGGCTGCAATGAGCTACATTTGTGGTTTTTTTCCTTTCCTTTCCTTTCCTTTCCTTTCCTTTCTTTCCTTTCCTTTCCTTTCTTTTCTTTCTTTCCTTTCTTCTCTTTCTCCTTTCCTTCCTTCTTTCCCTTCCCTTCCCTTCCTTTCTTTTCCCTTTCTTTCTCCTTTCTTCTTTTCTTCTTCCTACCCTTCTTTCCTTTCCTTTCTTTTCCTTTCCTTCTTTCCCTTCCTTCCCTTTCCTTTTCCTTTTCTTCTTTCTCCTTTCCTCCTTTCCATTCCCTTCCTTCTTTCTTTTCCTTTCCTTTCTCCTTTCTTTCTCCTTTCCTTCTTTCCTTCCCTTCTTCCCTTCCCTTCCCTTTCCCTTTCTGTCCTGTCCTTTCTCCTTTCTCTTTCCTTTCCTTCTTTCCCTTCCCTTCCTTTCCTTCCTTTCCTTTTCTTTCTTTCCTTTCTCCTTCCATTCCCTTCCTTCCTCCTTTCTCCTTTCTTTCTCCTTTCCTTCTTTCCCTTCCCTTCCCTTCCCTTCCTTTCCCTTCCCTTCCCTTCCCTTCCCTTTCCTGTCCTGTCCTTTCTCCTTTCTCTTTTCCTTTCCTTCTTTCCCTTCCTCTTTTCTTTTCTTGTTTGCCTTAAGTGTTTTTTTTTTTGCTGCTGGAATATTTTTCTTTTACTTATTAACCCAACCACATCTACTACTATAAGCTCCAACACAAAGTGAAAATGGCTTTTCTTTCCAACTTTTAAAATATACCAGCAATCAGTCCCCCGATGTAATACCACTGCAGAGCTCTGTAAGCAGATCAAATGATTGCAATAGCCTTTCATGAAACTTGGAAAGTGTGGAATGGATGAAAGAATAATCCTCCATCCAGGTAGTTCCTAATTTCAGGTTTTTCAAATGTTAAGTAAAGTTCTCCAAATCTGCACATTTGTTCCAAGGTGACTTTCCAGGAGTCTCCCTGCTCTCTAAATTCAGGCCTCGCAGCTGTGTATGTTCCAGATGCAGGTATGTTGAGACTTTCATGTTTTTCATTCCTCAAGCCCTCAAAAGCAGTTTGAAGACAGACCATGATCTCTTCATTTTTGCTGGTTTGAAAAGCTGAGGATAAGGAGAGAAAAACATTGCACTCCCTGGAGCTGCTGCAGAACCCATAGCAACGAAAATGCCTTTACCTAGAGCATTTCCAAATCTGGCTGCAAAGTCTGGACAACCACTAGATGTCAAGAAAGAGATACCAGAAGGTAACTGTTTGCTGCCATCTAGTGGTCTTTCAAATGTCTGTAGCTCACATCTGAGAGCTTACCCCAGTGTTTCTCAACCTTGGCAATTTTAAGTTATGTGGATTTCAACTCCTAGAATTCCCCAGCCAGTCGTGAAGTCCAGTTGTCTTATAGTTGCTAAGGTTGAGAAACACTGGCCTACCCTAAGTACCGCCCCAAACAAAAGTGGGGGGAGGAAAAAAAGAAAAAAATAAATATATAAAACAACAGAATAGTCCATTAACTAAGGCAGGACTGTCAATCTCCCAGCCCATGGGCCAGATGTGTCACAGACTGCCCATGCCCGATTTAGCGAAGGGGGAAAAAAATCCTGATATGTTACATGACGCCGCCATGATGACATGAGTTTGGCATTCCTGAACTAAGGAATTTGCTAAGATTAGGGAGTCCTAGGTTAAAACCCACTCTCAACCATGAAAATTGTCTAATTACTCTTTAGCCCAGATTGCTTCACATGGGTATTGATGTGGATACAAAACAGAGAGAACAAGAGAAAGAAAGAGAAGGAGAAAGAGAAAGAAGTGGGGAGGGAGGTTCTCCATGGAAGCCATCTTTAGCTCCTGGAGGAAAAGTGAAATGTAAATCAAACAAATCTTGGTATAAAAAAAAATAAGATTTTACATGTGATAATAGAAATTTGGAGACTTGATGAGAAGTATTTTGAGATAGGTTATCTTAATGTAGGGATTATAGATGCAAACTTCAGGAATGATTGTTATAATTTAAACAAAGATGTATCCAACTAACCTGTATCCATTGGCAGTCCAGGCTCTGGACTTTGGCAGCTATCTCTGCTTTCTCTTCTTAATTATTTTTACCTTTCTTAAATCAGATCCAGACTTTTTTTTTGGTCGAGTATAAAATAGGGCATGTGGCCTACACTTATCCAAACAGAGTAGAGTTATCACGTCACTTTTGCTGGTTGGGTATCATGGAATTTCATGTCCAATCATGTCATTGTTGGTGACAACTGACTGAGATAATGTATGTACATTCAGTTTGGGAATTATGGAAGGAAGAAAGAACTTCTGAGAATACCCTGCTACCTGAACATAACTGCCACATGAGCTAGACAAAAATATATGTCATCATATCCAGTTCTTAGCTCTCAGAATGCTTTTCATTCCCATTGGTTGAGCAGTGATGATGTCACAATGAAGTTAAAAGCAGAGGGCCATTATCTAAACAACATATCACATACAGGACCTCCAAGGGAAATCAGGAAAGACAAAGGAAAAGGTGAACCAGGCTGGAAAGTCAGAGAGGGAAGAAGCAGGAAGCCAAAGAAAAAGTAAGTGGAAGAGATTGCTGTATAGAATTTTAAGAGGAGGTCATTTAAGAAAGAATGAGTAGAGGACATGGGTGTCTAGTTGAACAACCAGCCAAGAAAGACAGTGGGCCATTGAAAAGATATAAGTTTGAAACATAAACAAGAGAAAGCTAAGAGAAGGAATAGGAGGTTATTGGAGCTGAGGTTGCATTCTTCAATACACTTAATTGGATGTAAGCACCAGTAAATTTGCTGATCTGTACTTTTGAGATATATTTCTGAGTAAACAAGCATAGGATCAGGCTACTTTGTCTCTGGTTATAGGTAATAGGGCTTTAGTATAATATATAGGGAATTGATAGTCCCCAGTTGTTGTTGGATTACAGTCTTCATTATCCATGACCATTGACCATAATTGTTGGGATGGGTAAAAGTTGGAGTTCACGCCTGGTATATATAATTTGGTGCATTAAGAGACTGAGATATTTTTTGAGAGACTCCGGAGAATCAGATGCTGGAGTCAATGATACTAGGCTAGCTGGATAAGGAATTTGCTCTTACTGTATGTAAGGCAATTTTCTTTTTAATCTTTTAATCTTAATCCTTTAAAAAAAATTTTAAGACCAAATGTTAATTTAAGAATATTCCTAGTTTTTCCCCCCCACTTGTTTGATCATAGAAGCAAAGCTAGAAGTCAGGAGGCTGGGAGTTCTAGTCTTACTTTAGGCATGAAAGCCAGCTGGTTGATTTTTGGGCCAATCACTTTCTCTCAGCCCAACCCACTTCACAGGGTTGTTGTTGTTGTGGGGAAAGTAGGAGGAGGATTGTTGTGTTAAAATAAAATAAAATAAAATAAAATAAAATAAAATAAAATAAAATATAAAATAAAATAAAATAAAATAAAATAAAATAAATAAAATAAAATAAAATAAAATAAAATAAAATAAAATAAAATAAAATAAAATAAAATATGCTGATCTTAGAGGTGAAAAAAATCCAGGAAGAATTTCATGGCCAAAAAAATGATTGACAAGATCTTGATGAACCCTGATTTCATTTATATCCCATTTTCTTTTCATGCCGAACCCAGCATTGCACACTTGATGAAAGTATTCATTTCTAATTCATTAGATTTAGATGCCACCAAACTTCATAGTAACTTCAAAAAACTCACTGACCAGATCTAACTCAACCTAGCTTCAACAAGCGGGCATCATTCAGTTATATTTTGAGAAGGCAGTTTTGTAATATTTCAACATCCATGTGGCTGTTGATGAGGCCATAACTTTTAGCAGGCAGCTAAAGGAACACAATACTAGTTCATTTGAGGTATTGATTGAATCTCTATCCTATTACCATTCTCTCTCCTTCACTTTCTCTCTTTTGCTCTGTCTCTCATTAGCTCCTGTCTCTCACTGCTATAAATAGCTTTTAATTGCTGGCTTTGGTGCCCTCTCTTTCCTCATCTCTCATCTGTCTCTTCTATAAGGACTTTGTCAGCAAGAAGGAATTTGAGATAGAATCATTCAAAGCTTGGCATTTGGTAGAAGAATAAAGGCCCATCCTTTGGTGAAAAGCTGAATATTTTTTTAAAAAAGAATTGAACATTTAAAAACAATATACTATGTGTGTGTTAGGAAGAAAGAAGAAAAAGGGGGAAAATATAAAAATTAAATCTAATAAATAATAACCTGTGCGATGAAGTAAATTTTTTATATTCATACATGATTAATGATACCTGAACATGTTTGATCCCAAATAGCACCAAAAATCTACGCAGAATACAAATAACAGAAAAACAAATAATACCTAATAAATCACAGAATAAAATTATGCCATTGAAAATTGTAGTGAATTCCATGGAAGTGTAAGTTGCTACAATGCACACTGAAGACCAGGGGGGATATTCAACCTGAGTTCTCCCTCACTTTAGCAGATTGAGGTCAACAGTGATGTAGATGCAGAGTGGAGAGATGAAAACAAGACTGAAAACTTGGTGCTGTTCATGAATGTGGGTTCGGTGCTTCAATGCTCAATGCTATGCACAAGATTTGTTCACCAAATGGAACTGAAGATATGGATCTGGAGGACTTTGAGCATGTCCTCCCATTGTATTCTCCATCCTTAGAAGAAACATTAAGGTTTTATTTGGTTTTCTCTTGGGGAGTTTTGTAAACCTTCAAAGGCAAAGGTATATTTGTGGGCTGGTTAGCATATGATAAAGAGCCATGTGCAAGGTTTCCAACTGTCTCAGCTACCTCCATGACAAAACCACAGTGTGGACCAAGGTCCCATTGATGATTTTACAGTTGAGCAATAGCAGTTCCCATAATAGTATATTTTTCTGATACTCAGAATGCCCCATCTGCATTGGCAGATATACTGTCTCAATTGAGTTCAGATGAGCATGTTCCAAGAAACCAATATGGAGGAATGAATCTGTGGCAAATCTAATCTGGACATGGAAGACTAGCTCCTTTATGGGAATGAGGTTGCTTTCAAAGACAGAAATACTTAACTGGCCTATTAAAAGCCATTGTTTGATATGGTCTCTCCAGTTTCGTTCTTCACCTCCATTCGAATCCTCTGCTAAACTCTCCATAGAGAACCGATGTTCTTCTCTCTTCCCTTTATTGGGATTCTCAAAATGGGGATAGGCTTTTTCCATCTCTGGGGAAAAATGGGGAATAGTTATGCAAATCCAGATCTTAATCTCTCTTTTGGTTCACAAAGCTCCAATTGAGAATGAAATGTTAATTCAATGCTGGGGCAGTTTGCACAGTTGGCGACATCTCTAGGAATGACTAGCATAAAGGTAAAGGTAAAGGTTCCCCTCACACATATGTGCTAGTCGTTCTTGACTCTAGGGGGCAGTGCTCATCTCTGTTTTAAAGCCGAAGAGCCAGCACTGTCCGAAGATGTCTCCGTGGTCATGTGGCCAGCATGACTCAACACCAAAGGTGTACGGAATGCTGTTACCTTTCCACCAAAGGTGGTCCCTATTTTTCTACTTGCATTTTTTTGTGTGCATTCAAACTGCTAGATTGGCAGAAGCTGGGACAAGTATTGGAAGCTCACGCTGTTACACGGCACTAGGGATTCGAACTGCTGAACTGCCACCCTTTCGATTGACAAACTCAGTGTCTTAGCCATTGAGCCACTGCGTCCCCTATGACAAGCATATGTTTCTGCAAATCAGGGGTTGGGTTCACATATTTCTCTAAAGCAGGTTTATTTAGCCACGGCTTGTTGGAAAAACCACAGTTGTCTGGGATCATTATAGTAAGCCAAACAAGACAGTCTGCAGAGTGGGTACAGTCACACGAAGTGCTGAACAAAATGAAATCGCATTGTGGCTTGACTGTACAAGTAATTTCTGAACTTACAACCACCTTTGGAACTGGAGCTTCCATTGCTAAGCAATGCAGTTTGTCAAATGACTTACACCCAATTTTTATGGCACTTTTTTCCGTGGTCATTAAACAAATCACATGGTCAGTAAGCAAATTTGGTTTCCTCCATTGGCTTTATTTGCCAGAAGTCTGGGAAGGTTGTGAATGGCAATCACATGATTATGCGACACTGCAACTGTCATAAACACATGCCAGTTCCTAAGTGACCAGATTTTGATCACGTGACTGCAGGAATGCTGCAATGGTTTTAAGCATGAGGACCAGTCATAAGCCTCTTTTTTCAGTGGTGGCTTAATTTCAAACAGTTGTTAAATAATCAAAAGTAAAGGACCACCTGTATTCAATATTGAGCCATTACAGTGTTAGGGGCACCCTCTATAGCAGGGATGTCAAACTCAATTTCATTGGGGGCTGTATTAGGGTTGTGGTTGACCTTGGGGGGCCAGATATGCATGGCCAGGGTGGGCGTGGCCAGTTCCACCTCACTTGAGTCGGGGCACCTGTGGTGGCCTGGGCAGGGCTGAGGAAACCATTGTCTCCAAGAGCCCTAGACAGCAGAGGGGAAGCACCCAGCCCAGCCCAGCCCAGCTCCCAGAGCACCAGGGCACCAGGACCCCACAGTCCTGAGCTCCTTTTTCAGCCACAATAGCCTCCTGCAGTGGCCTGCCAACAAAAACATGTGCACAGCCCTCCTGAGCTCCGTTTTTGCTGGCAGACTGCTGCAGGAGACCGTCGCAGCCAAAAATGGAGCTCCGTTTTCACTGGTAGAGGGACCGTGCACTGGTCTTTCGATGTTTCCAGGGCACCCCTGCAGGCCAGATCTAAGCACACTTGGGCCGGATCCAGCCGATGGGCCTTGAGTTCGACACCCCTGCTCTATAGTGTCAAGTTACAAAAATAGACCAGTACATTACACAGAAAGAGAGAGTTCCTCAATCCAATCCCTGCCTACGAGACATCATCATTTTGGGCTGGAATGTGCAAGCCTATTGCTATAGATTTTAAAATTAACAAGGCTGGCAGAAAATGTACTTTCTTCTTTTAATGCACATTACCACGTGTTTTATCTTGCCACGATACCTTAATAAAACCTGATGTAGGCTTCAATAACCTCAGTTTCTTCGGAATTTGAGCTATTCTTATCCATGCTTTGGAAGTAAAATCATTATGGTCTTTTTACAGTATTGGATAAAAGTACAATTTTAAAAGGGGAGCCTCGGGAGATCAAATCTGTTTCAGAGTCCAATTGCCTGGCAGGCTGGACCCCTTGGGCTATTTGTGATGATGCTGGCACCTGATAGGTTATTATTGCTGGAGCTGCACTAAACACTTAGCCATTTTAATTTTCAAAAAGGAAACATCTCAAACATTTTTCCATTTCCTTTAAATCCTTAATTACCTCCCCAAGTCATTTGATTTATTTTATGGGCTGCTCACTATCTTTCTCCTTGGTTATGACTTCTTCCAAGGTAATTTCAGCTGAATATAAGAATGCCAGGACATTATAAAACACAAGCGTGCTCAGATGAGAAGATACAGTTTGAGCAGCCTGTTTCATCTTGGACTGACGCCTTTTCCTTGCAGTTTGACTCAGGCTGCCTCTGAATCTTAAGTGTCACCCATTGACGAACAGTAGCAATGAAGCAACGGCAATAACTTTTTTTCTGTTATTCTGAACTGGAAGCAATTTCCAAGAATTGTGACAGTTTATGGAGAGGCTCACATTTCTGATAAATGGTTATCGGGATTCTTGTGTTAGGCAACTTTAGATATTCATTTGTTTCTAAAGACTGACAACTATTTCCTGGCACAGTTGGATGAAATCTGCAAGCAGTGTGTTGAGCAGCTAAAGCTTGTCAATTTTCAGATTATTACATTTGGAGTTTCTGTGGGCCATTGTTATACTAGGTACTATAAATGTGACCCCAGCCAAGATGCCTACATCAGATCAAGGTAAATACAGTGATTTAATGAGGGTGTCTAAATTTTGGGAGGACTGTTATTTGCTTCCATCTTCTTTCATGTTTCTGAGGAGGCAGGCTGTATTAAAAGAACATATTTCCCATAATTCCCATTTGAAACACTTCACAAGGAAAAGTAGAGGAGCAATGGGGTTATGAAGAAAGAAGCAGTTACGTTTCTGGTGTCTCAAGCTCACTTTGGACCCAACTGCAATTGGACTGGATGACAGGAATGAAATGGACAATGGCAGAGGCCAAACGAGATTACTGTGGTACCTTGCTCAATAGTAGTAACTGTGAGAGGGATCTTGGAGTCCTAGTGGACAACCATTTAGATATGAGCCAGCAGTGCGCAGCAGCTGCCAAAAAAGCCAACACAGTCCTAGGCTGCATAAACAGAGGGATAGGATCAAGATCACGTGAAGTGTTAATACCACTTTATAAAGCCTTGGTAAGGCCACACTTGGAATATTGCATTCAGCTTTGGTCGCCACGATGTAAAAAAGATGTTGAGACTCTAGAAAGAGTGCAGAGAAGAGCAACAAAGGTGATGAGGGGACTGGAGGCTAAAACATATGAAGAACAGTTGCAGGAACTGGATATATCTAGTTTGATGAAGAGAAGGACTAGGGGAGACATGATAGCAGTGTTCCAGTATCTCAGGGGTCGCTACAAAGAAGAAGGAGTCAAACTATTCTTCAAAGCACCTGAGGGTAGAACAAGAAGCAATGGGTGGAAACTAATCAAGGAGAGAAGCAACCTAGAACTAAGGAGAAATTTCCTGACAGTTAGAACAATTAATCAGTGGAACAACTTGCCTGCAGAAGTTGTGAATGCCCCAACACCGGAAATTTTTAAGAAGATGTTGGATAACCATTTGTCTGAAGTGTTATAGGGTTTCCTTCCTGGGCAGGGGGTTGGACTAGAAGACCTCCAAGGTCCCTTCCAACTCTGTTATTCTATTCTATTCTATTCTATTCTATTCTATTCTATTCTATTCTATTCTATTCTATTCTATTCTATTCTAGTGCTTTCCAAGCAAAATTTAATGCTCAGCACTGGTTGTATAGATCCTACCAAGGAAATGAGCAGTCTTGCCCAGTCTATTCCTATAATAAAATACTCTGCACAATATTCCCCAACCTTTCCTGCTTTGTGGACCAGTCAGGGGAAGTGAGAGAATGGTTTCATGCGAGCAGCGGGGGAGCGTGTGCACGCAGCTCCGTTACCACCAGAACCGGGCACACGCAGCCATCACTCACACAAGTGGAGCTGCCCACACAAGTGGAGTTTGCCCACCACTTCTGTGGCCCAGTTCCAAATTTCATTTCATTTTTTTTTTCATTTTATTTGATTTATATACCACCCTACTCCCGAAGGACTCAGGGCAGTGAACAGGCACAAGATAAAACACATAGAATAGAAAAATTTAAGAGCAGAAGTAAAATCGAATTAAATCAATTTAGCCAAGATAAATTTAAAACCCCAGGTTAAGAACAAATTAAAATTTACATTAAAATTTACATTAAAAAGAAAACGGGAGAGGTTAGGCCAGACCAGCCTGGTGAAATTAAAAGGTCTTGAGAGCGCAGCGGAAGGTGTGTAGATCCGGGATCCGCTGTATCTCCAGGGGGAGCTCGTTCCAGACAGTAGGTGGCCCCACAGAGAAAGCTCTCCCCTGGGGGCCACCAGCCAACATTGTTTGGCCAATGGCACCCGGAGGAGTCCCTCTCTGTGAGAGCGTACTGGCCAGTGGGAGGCCGTTCACGGCAGCAGGCGGTCCCGTAAATGGGTGATGGCCCAATACTAGGCCCTTGGCTGAGGGTTGGGGACCTCTGTTCTAACACCCCTTCCACAGAGAGGCTATTGAAATAATCCCACACAAGAAATCTGCCCTGTTCATCAAACTCTTGCATGGAATGGAGTCTAGCCTTTAAAAGCATATGCAACAGAAAGAGGCTATGCAGTTTGCTATTTATATGGATACCTCAGCTACATCTTTCAATCTAGCCTGTATAAAAGCCATAAGCTTGTATAACAATATTTGGAGAACAAGGGATACAAAATGTTCTACAGGGTACACCCTATGTTTATGGCTCCTGAATTGTGGCTTCATTGGGATGTTTTTCCATTGATTTTATTTAGATTTCAACTTAGCATGCCTTTTTGCCCCTCAAGAGTGTAGAAACTGTCGTTCCAGTTCTACCCCCAAAACAGCTTGTTTTCTAGATGGACACAATTCTACACTGGGTGACTGGATTCATTTGGACAGAAAATCGTTATTTGGCAATCCTGCCACTAAGCTATTGAAACTGTTGGACTCTGCAATGATAGATTTTACAAGAGTCCTTGTGTCAAATTCACCAGTGCTCCTTTTGCTAAGTCCTTGTTTTTGCAATGAACTGATCCTCTTAGTATCTCCATATTCAGTTTGAAGCAGAGGTTGTGAAACTGGGTATGCCCCATAAATTTCTAATTACTCAGAGTTACCTAGCTATCATACTTTTTTTCCATCTTGACCTGGTCTTTATTTTACATGACAAAAGCTATTGTAATACAGAGCTTCCCTGCTGCAGTTTTATCAAGAAACATTACTACTTTAATATTAAATAAGTAAACTTGAAACAAGCTCCTTTTACTGATCTGGGGCTAGGCTAGATTATCCTGGGATATCTAAGCTGAACTAGTCAGTATATCTTGGTCTGTAGAATAAATTTTACTGGACTGTAGAATAGGTTTTAACAACAAATAACTTTTTTTGTTAGGGATCTTTCGTTGCCTCCTCCCTGAAATGGTACTATTCCTTCTATCACCCTGCAATTCTATTCCCATCTTCTGCAAATATACATCAAAGGAGAGGCTCTTCTTGCTGAATTGAGTAGGAATCAACACCACCACCACAACCAATTGATTTGAGTGATTTGAATTGTCCTGCTAGCTTTAAATTTCTCCTGAGAACCCTGATCAACTAAGTTCAAAGTCATATACCAGTATATGAATTCTGCAGCAAAAAGTCCCAGCAAAGCAGGTAACCTGGTAGAGATGACAGCCTGAATTTGTATTTTGTCCCTCCCTCCCTCTCTTCCATCTGTCTATCTGTCTGTCTGTCTGTCTGTCTACTCTATCTATCTATCTATCTATCTATCTATCTATCTATCTATCTATCTATCTATCTATCATCTCTCTATCATCTATCCATCATCTAATAAATGTATATGACCGCCCATCTCACAGAAATGACTCTAGATGGTATAGGTAAAGTAAAGGTAAAGGTTCCCCTCGAACATAGGTGCTAGTTGTTCCTGACTCTAGGGGGTGGTGCGCATCTCTGTTTCAAAGCTGAAGAGCCAGTGCTGTCCGAAGACATCTCCTTGGTCATGTGACAGGCATGAGTAAATGCCAAAGGCCCACGGAACGCTGTTACCTTCCCACCAAAGGTGGTCCCTAGTTCTCTACTTGCATTTTTTACATGCTTTCAAACTGCTAGGTTGGCAGAAGCTGGGACAAGTAACCGGAGCTCACCTTGTTATGCGGCACTAGGGATTCGAACCATTGAACTGCTGACCTTTCGATCACAAAATTAGCATCTTAGCCACTAAGCCACTGCGCCCCACTCTAGATGGTATACAACAAGCCAATCCAAAGGTTTTCAAATCTCACTACTGTAAAACTTGGTTTCTATACTAAATGTATATGGAAATCCACAAGAAAAGCCATTTCAATTGCCAATTCCTATTCTGGCTGTAGTAAAAAGTTCACAGAAATTAATGGTCATCAGTAAGTAGAATCATTAGAATGAAATGCAAAGAAGATAATATTTTTTTCTAAGTCTAGTAACTATTAAGGATGTTCACAACCAAATATGTAAACTGTACATGTCCATTTTTATGTGTGTGTGTGGAACATAATGTCAGCACAAATCAGTTAATTGCAGGATGAACCTTCATTGAAGGTTATAGATCATAATCTAACTTGCTGGTCTAATGTAGGTTTGTACTTAAAGCATTGTTTTGTTTTATTTTTTTACTTTCCAGACTGATTCTAAGAGAAAATGCTATCACAAAGTATTCTATACGTAAGGCTGGACTAAGTCCCTATCTCTGGTACAACACCTTAATTACACCTTACTATGTTGGTTGTCTTAAAAATATATGCTCAACATTGTACTACTACATTAGTGAGTAATAAGGAATAAATTAATACTCAGAGAAAGCTGGTATGAGATATTTTATAGTTGTTATATTACTAAAATGGATAGCTCATTTTTTTTTAAAAAAAATTGAAATATAATGATGAAGTAGCATCATTCTTTCATATTTGAAAAGCAATGTTGGTATATGGGATTGAACTTGGGCGACAAGGGGAAGAGCCACAGACTGGACAACTAGAAGGTAAAAGATACCTTGCTCCACAAAACTGTGGGAAACATCTCAGAAGGGACCCGCCCAGGTTTTCCAGAGAATAAAGGGAAAAGACAGGAGAAATAGCTTCAGTCTTGCAAGATTCTGTTAAACAAAGATAAAGTTAATCCTCATGATTGTTCTTCTTGTCTGGACTACCTCAAAGGGCCCAGTTTGTGGGGGCAATAAGCTGACTTTGTATAAATATACAAAAGTATGAAGGCTATTGCTTAACGCATTGTAAGCCGCCCTGAGTCTCCGGAGAAGGGCGGCATATAAATCAAATTAAAAAAAAAAGAGGGCTAACATCAATCGTGCAAGATATGAAGTATTTTTGCCTCTGACACTCACTCCAGTCTCCCAGGATCTCCCAAGGATATTCCCATATACCATTATACCTGAATACGATAACTACTCCAAGGATATTCATTACTTTATATTGGAAAGGATCCTTTCTACAGATGAATACAGTAGCCAACAAGGTATTGGGTGTGTTTCAATGTCCTAAATAAATTCATATCTTAACGGTAAATCTGAGAAAGAGTTTAATTCAATTTGAAAACCATTTCTAAATTGCAACATTATTCCTGCAGAGGACATCTTTTAATGAGGCATAAACAGTGGTGGGTTCCAAATTTTTTTTTACTACTGGTTCTATGAGTGTGGCTTGGTGGGCATGACATGGCTTGGTGGGCAAGGCAGGGGAAGGATACTGCAAAATCTCCATTCCCACCCCACTCCAAGGAAAGGTTACAGCAAAATCCCCATTTCCTCCCGATCAGCTAGGACTTGGGAGGCAGAGAATAGATGCGGGTGGGGCCAGTCAGAATTTTTATTACTGGTTCTCTGAACTACTCAAAATTTCCGCTACCCATTCTCCAAAACTGGTCAGAACCTCCTGAAACCCACCTCTGGGCATGAACAAGGATGATGTAAGCCATGGGGAAGCCAAAAGCAAATGAATGGGAAGTACTCTTTCTTTTTCTTTTTCTTTCTTTCTTTCCTTCTTTCTTTCTTTTCTTTCTTTCTCTTTCCTTCCTTCCTTCCTTTCTTCTTTTTCTTTCTTTCTTTCTTTTCCTTTCCTTGTTTTTTTCTTTTCTCTTTTCTTTTCTTTTCTTTCTCAAACAACAAGTCACAAGGAAGGGACAGAGATTTTTTTTAATAGCTGAACTGATCTCCTGTAGTAGGGGATTGAAAATAAGCCAAAAGCCACGTTAGTCCAAGTAGTGCTGTAAACTGTCGTGCTGTTTAGTTCTTTCATCTGCTTTAAAGCCCATATCTTGGCTGATCACTTAAATCTGCAGTTAGAGAGGAAGACTTTGAGCCTTGTTTATTTTTTTAAGAAGTGTTCAACCCTGTGATTCATCTTAGCCATCTGCAGTCTCAAATGGCCTAGTCCAGGAATATGTTTATAAGTGATCAAAGCTTTGCCATCATTTCATTTGGAACATTATGGATGGTATTATCTTAAGTACCTAATCAGAATATTCCCATTATTAAATAATCAAGGAGAAAAACTGCATTATGCAATCCTGCTATAGAGCTGCACTGGGAAATCTGTGTAACTGTCAACCATATGAAATCCCCGAATCTCTTTTTAGAGTTGCCAGAGGCCTGAAGATTGCATCACCAGAATTTGATAGCAAACTGTTGGAAAAACTCTGTGGCTCTAAAGCTTAATTTGTCTTTAAAACGTACCTCCTCCCCCCAATATACAATGAAACAAAAAAATGGAGAGAAGGCAAATTCTGTCTCTCCACACTCTAGTGAGGTCAAAAGGTATTATTGCATACAGCATCTTCTTGGTCTTGTAATAAAGTGGTGGCACCGCAATGCACAATCACTGTCATTCATTTTTATTCTAGTGGTGGCATGTTCAACAGAGTTTGAGTGATTTGCTGGGGAAATTGTACTACAGCGAGAAGTACAGGCTAACACCACAGAGCAGTAGGGTTGAGGAAGAGAGACACGGTCCTGCCTTTTTTAATGACTGTTGGTCAGCTATTCATTTAAAGCCATGTATGTATGTATGTATGTATGTATGTATGTATGTATGTATGTATGTGTTTGTTGATTAACTAGTTATTTAATTGGTTAGCTACCTATTCAACCAATCAGCAGAGAAAAATGCCATACTTGACATTTGTGCCCTGGTGTCACAGTGGTTAGAGTGCAGTACTACAGTATGCAGGCTACTTCTGCTGATTGCTGGCTGCCTGCAATTTGGCAGTTCAAATCTCACCAGGCTCAAGGTTGACTCCGCCCTCCATCCTTCCAAGATGCGTAAAATGAGGACCCAGATTGTTGGGGGCAATAGGCTGACTCTGTAAACTGCTTAGAGCGGGCTGTAAAGCACTGCGAAGTGGTATATAAGTCTAAGTGCTGTTGCTATTAGAAAGGGCTGTAAAACACTGTGGAGCGGTATATAAGTGCTATTGCTATTAGAAAGGGCTGTAAAGCACTGTGGAGCAGTATATAAGTCTAAGTGCTATTGCTATTGCTACTGCTATTGCTACTTCTACCACTGCCTCTTGCCTTCTATCAAGAAAGGGAGGAGCCTCCTTTCTCAGTGACGCTGAAGTAGCAATAGACTGCATTTTTAGCAGATGGTTCACTACTTGCCACAATATTAGATTGCCCATAAAAATTATAAACTGATGGCATCCCTGAGTGTAAGTCTTTCATTACTGCATGTAGCAATCCAGTTATAGAATTGTTTCTCCATAACAAACGGTGGAATGAGACGGAGATATTTTAATCATCCTCCTTTAAAAATAAACTGTTTCAAATTCTACGCATAAACCCAAGGCCACTTCAAACATTAAAATCACATACACAGTGCCATAAAGCTATAATAAAATCTACTGCCTTCAAACAGAAGAGCTAAACTGTCATGATAAAATACAACATAATTAATTTAGGGGGGCCCATGGAAGGATCATGAACAGATTACTCTGGCATTCTTTTGAACAATGAAAAAAAGTGTGCATATTTTTTTAAAAAAATTATGGTTTGAGGGCAACATAAGCTATGTCCTGGTGTTATGACCTCTGTCATTATCAAAATGTGACATTAGCAAGAGTGTGTGATGATTGTAGCTGTCATCCCACATGGTAGATGCTATTTCACAATCTATATCCATACAAGTGAGAAATGGGTGTCCGTCACATGCAAGGATTGATCACTCCAAATTATTACTTTAAAGAAACGGTTTTGTCTGTGTAAGGGGAGTGACACAAACCATGTGAGAAAGAAGGCTACGGAACAAGGCTGGGAAAAGATGGGGTACTTCCCATTCCATACTAAACAGCCTCTGATTAACCCTGAGAAAACTAAGTATCTGGAATAATCCTGGAAATTGAAGCAGATGTAATTTGCTTTAGGAAGTTTTTATTTCTTTTACAATAAGATTTTGGGATTAATTATAAAGAACAAACAATATTTCATAGGAAATACATCCTGTTTGGGTTTTTACAAGACATAACAAAGATAAGCATTTTATGATTACAAAAACTGGATGCCAGAAAAGACTAAAGATTTTAGGTAGAGAAAAGACATACAACCTACCAGAGGTCAGCAACCTGCGGCTCCAGAGCCACATGCAGCTCTTTGGGCCCTCTGCATGGCT